CACCTTGTCCAATTATATGTCGATCCGGCCAAACACGAGGGTTATTATCCGATTCCTGAAAATTTTTGGATAAATTCTGAAATATTGAGATCACAAATGAACACATCATCTTTGGTAAAATTTATTTTAATTAGAACTATACCATCTTTCTATAGTTTAAAACTAATTATTATTGTTCATTAATCATTAGATTCGTCGGACGGCGATACCAACGATTTATTATTGGAAAGATAACGATTTCGGTGCATTCGAAGTACCATCATATTTACCACGTGATAGTTATGTGGTTTCGGATTGCAATATGACTAGGGAGTTACAGTGCCAGAAGCCAGGAACAAAGTGGCCTGTATGTTCATTTTAATGTTTAAAAATATATCTTGAAGTTAATTATTATTTCCAACACTGTGTATGTAATTATAATTCTTAGGTGTTTGTCAAGGAAAGTGGTGGAAATCGGGATAAAGAATATGGAGAATCATTTGGTTATTTGATTGCTGGAAAAAAGAATGAAACTGATATGGAAGTTAGTCTTGTAATCCTTCCGTACAACTATCTCGCATTGTTTAAATTGTTAGGTATGTTCACTTTTTATTTATTTATTTTGACTTATGTGCATATATCCGCCATGTTGTGTGCATAGTTGAATTGAACGTTAATTTAGAATGACTGTTCATATGTATTTAATCTATATTTCGTCCCTATTATATTATTATCTTTTAAAAGGTCAATTGAGGCCTGAACAAACATTAGATTGGAAAGGCTCTTTTGAAGCTTATCGGAAAACTTTACCTTGGTACTATTTACAGGTAATAAATATGTATACATCATGTTTTTGTGTTTAATTTAAATATTTAAAATTACTTTCTTTTAAAGCCACTATATAAAGCTTTCGTCGCATGCAACCTTGATAGGACTGTCGATATTAGTCTTTTTACTAAACCAAAAACAGATGGTCTTGATTCGTTATTGAATCAAATCGTACAACAATCTGCAAATCCGAAATTGGATGAAATGAGAAAAGAAATTGTGGCAAATCGTTGGGTGTGTATAAAACCTAACCAATTAATCTTTTATTAATGACTAATCACTATAAAAATTAACCAATTAATCTTTTATTAATGGCTAATCACTCATATTCGCTATTAAAATTCAAAGAGTGTAACAAGGACAATACCATTGCCAGAAACGGTTTGTATAAATTCTTTTATACTTATTTAATTGCTATGCTTTATCTTACTCGAAATCTTCTATTCAATCGAGTAGAATTATGATGTGACATCTTTGCTAGACATAACATCCACAATAAGACGTGAATTTCGAGAATCACTAAATGCACCTATTGAAACAGGTTGGTTTTATAAATTTGCGTTCACCCTTGTAATTATCATAATTTTTAATAATAGAACATTTGTAGATTCTGCAAACTCTGTTGGCACTGGGGATATGGGCAATTTTAATAAGGAGATGATCAAAGCGGTTAAAAAAGATAATTTTAGAAACCCATTCGAAGATAATTCTGATGCTAAAAAGAAAGATGATAAGCGAGCGTTTGGTAGTCCTTTCAAAAATCCTATTCAGGTATTTGTTTCATCTGTAATGTTTATACAAATGTGTATATTCTAATTATCTTACTAAATTTAATTAAATTAACATATTTTAATGCTTAAAAGAAACCACCATACAAATGGAGTCTGTCAAAAATGCCACCAGGTTTTCGAGAAAGATTACCTTCAGGGTTAAAGCCAATTTCTTTTCAGGGATTGCCAGAACTAGGAATAAATCCTTTCATTATTCTTCCTGGAAGACAACTAACGACTACAATCGGACCAACAACTACAAAAAATCGATCTATAAAATTACCAAAGCATCCGTTTGATGTAAATAATTCAAAAATACAAGGTCATAAACCAACCAGTAGATTAAATTTCAATTCAAAACCACTTACTCCACCATTAACACCCACACATGGATCATTTTCATCATTTTCTCCGGATCCATCGAGAATGGACCTAGATGAAAATCAAGCACTTGACATGGGATCAAATTTATTAAATGATGGTGTTCAGATTACTGATAATAATAACTCTAGATCACAAATGTTGGTAACAGACGATAGTTCATTAGAAATGAAATCTGTTCCATTAAATACTTCAGAAACAAACACATCAATGACGAGTAAATCACTTCCAAGTAGTTCCGAATTAGATGTACTCGCTTCGTTGAAAAATCAAAAAACAAATCATTTATCTAATAATTTAGAAATATTAAATTCAACCAAAGTAAATTCTAAGAATTCTATTGTTGATAATAATATGAATAATCTACAGGGAGCTATCTCAATTGAAACGGAACCTAGTAAGTTAAATAAGATAGATCAAGGCGATAAACGTATTCGAACTATAAAGAGAATATTAAGACCTAGGCCGTTGAAAAATTATGAAATATTCGACCTTCATTCTTCTGGTTTTGCAATCCATTTAAGACAGAAAATTCAAGCTGGTTCACCAGGTATGAATTATTTAGTACTTATTTACATTTAAACTTTATTAAATCATTATGTTTTTTTTTTAGTTTATAATGAACCTGAAATCATTGATCAATTGAGAGAATTTGCCGAATCAAATAATTACTCTCAGGATTCTAAAATTAGGTTTATAAAATCCATTAAAGAGTTTGTTAAAGCTTCACGGAAAACTAGTCTGTTACAGGAAGTCGAACGTATTGTCAATGAGCTAGAGAATGGTTCGAGTGATTTCACTGATCGTCGTCCTATTAAAAAAGTTATAGACAATATGGTAAAAAAAGATGATGATTATAATTATAATTTATTATACGGATGAGATAGTTTAAAGATTAGATGTATTTACTTCTGTGAATAAATTTAATGTAAGAGAATGACAAATAATCAATAGTATAAGTTTAGATTGGCAGGGAATACGCACATCTGTGATTAACTATAGAAATAATCTAAACTAATAAATCTAAAACCAATTTTGAATTATTTGTAAGCTTCTCATTATCAGAAATAGTTTGTTTAAATGCATAACGAGGGACATTTATAGTAATTTCTATTATCTTTCATATCGCTAAGAATAATTGTTATCTTGATATATAGAATAAGTTCAGATGGGCTTAGGGCGAATTACTCGTATTTGCTTTGCATATATTGTATATACAGTCAATTTCATTATAAGAATAAACCAAAGCTGGTGCTTACCGATTAAAAATCTATAAATGTTTACATATATACATAAAATCCATTGCTATATTTTGCTAAATAGATATATTTTATTATTCTTATAGTTTTTAAGTCAAAGTATCAATTTTTATGTGACATAATTTTTGGTCAGTTTGAACCTGCATCCTTGAAAAATGCAATAAAGATATTATTATTACTATTCTTAGTGAAACACAAACATGAGAAAAGAAAGTCCAAATCTCTAAACTTAGTGAAACACAAATACAAGAAAAAAAAGAAAATCCAAATAACTATTTCTAGTGAAGAATAAATACAAGCAAAAAAAAAAGTTCAAATTACTATTTTTAATAAATAACAGATCTACAAAGAAAGAAATGTTAGTTAAAAGAATTGAAAATGAAAAAAACAATATGAAAAGAAAGCTACTTATTACTATTTTTAGTAAAATACAAATATGAAAAAAATCTAAATCTCCAAATCCAGCAAAAAACAAATACAAGAAAGAAAAAAAAGTCCAAATCACTATTATCAGTAAAGAACTAATGCAAGTAAGAAAAGAAAATACAAGTTCAAATTATTATTTGTGATAAACAATTTACAAAAAAAAAGAAATATTAGTTAAAAGAATTAAAAAATAGAAAAAATAGAAAAGAAAACTATTTATTACTACAACAAAAATAGCAAGAAAAGAAAGCTACTTATTATTACAACCAAGTTCAAATTGTGAAGCACAAACATAAGGAAAGAAAGTTCAAATCTCTAATCTAGTAAAGCATAATCATAAAAAAGAAAAGAAAATTTAAATTACTATTTTTAGCAAAATACAAATACAAGAAAGAAAGAAATTTTAAATCACTATTTCTGGCAAAGCATAAATACAAGAAAAGAAAATCTAAATCTTCAA